AAACAGTCAAAAAATAAACTAAAATTACTACAAATAAATAGAAAAGGTAATTTATATAAAAAAGTAAAAATTAACTAGTATAATTTTGTCAAGTTCAATTAAAATTGTCACATGACATTGAGCTTGAAATTTTTTTTTTTACTTTTGCCGTAATTTCTTATAATAATTATTTGTTAAAAAACACCACAACACATACACTTATAACATGTGCATAAGAACACCCAAATACATATATATATATATATATATGTATATATATATTTCATTATTTTGATGTATATCATTTTTATCCAAAAGGAAAAGGCGGCCAAAGTCATACCTAATGAGATCTAATTACTAATAATTAATGAGATTGGAAAGGTTTGCAGAAATTAGAAAGATATTACGTTGGGTTGGGTTGGGTTGGGTCCCTTTAGCTCCATCTTTTTCTTCCGTGGACGTACCAACCCATTTTACAGTCTTTAAATTTTCTTACTTTTACTTTGACATTAATGTGAACGCAACCCATCCACACACCACCATACCCAAATAATGATAGTTACATTACACGACATTTTATGGTCAAGTCTATTCATCCATACCATATTCCATATTATATATATATATATTATATGGCATAAGTAAAAGGCAATTGTTATTGTTAGTCTTAGGTTAAATTTTCAATTTAGTCCCTCAATTATTATATGAACTTTTGATTTGATTCTACTGTTTATTAATTTGATTTAAAGTTGATTATTCTGTTAAAAAATAACTGACGTGTGTGTTACTTAATGATAGAAAACTATTACTTAATTGTTACGTGTTATATTAATAATGAGATATGTTATTTGTTTTTATATAGAATGACTAAGTTGGGACCAAATTAGTCAATAGTAAAGACCAAATCAATGATTTTTCTAATTTAGGGATCAAATTAAAGATACATATAATAGTTGAGGGATCAAATTGAGGATTTAACCTAAAGTCTTGAATTGGGTATCTAAAATACTGGTTTTTTTGTACACATGGGCCTGAGGAGCTCGGAGAGAATGAGCCCACCACAAAGCAAAAATAAGTTCATTTCCGTTCTCGATCGGCTCCCAAGCGAGGAGGTGCTGTGTGGAGGTTGGATTTGGATTTGGATTGTGAGACTCTCTCTCTCTCTCTGCCCTCTATTGCAAGCAATTGCTCTCCCATCTCTCTCAGACTCTTTCTTCATCTTGCCGTAAGTCTTTCAATTGCAATTGGACAATTGCTGACGCTAAATTGGTAAAACATTTTCTTCTTCTTCGCACACTATTTATCTTCCTGTGCCCTCACCCTCAATCAACATTATTGGGTTGGGATGGAGTTGGGTTAGATTGGGCTGGGCAAATCTCTATCAACTTAAATATGCTGTAATCTTATTGCCTCTTTTTAGTGTCAGAGTTCGGCTAAATTAGATTGGAATCAAAGATTTAATCCAACTCACTCACGGTGGACTGAGTTTTTGGGTAAAGGTGTTAGCTCAAATTAAGTAAGATATAACTCAATAAAAAGTTAAAAACCCACTCGGCTAGAAACATTTGCCAGTATTCTTATTGAAAAATTGAATCCTTTTCCTGAAAAAAAAAATTTTTCTATTTTAACTCTGGAATCAAAATCGGCAAAAGTGAACTGAATCTTATAAATTCAAAAGTCAAGACTTTTATTTTCCTTTACTTACACAACCATATGCCCAATTCATTTTTCACTGTAGAAGGTTGAGGTTCACCATTTTTTAGATAAAAAAAAAGTTAATTTTTTAAAAATAAAAATTAAATAAATCTAGTAGGGCATTAATAGTTGTGTGTAAGTTAATCTCAATTAGAATATGTTCGTCCGAATCATCATCCCGTTTGCAGGCCAAAAAGTGCAGAAATGGCCAAAAAAGAAAAAGAAAGTTGGAAGAGAGGTTCTCCTTTACAGATT